ACAAATTGACATGATAAGTTACAAATGTGACTTACATAATGATCAAATTTAACAGATTCTCTTTTCAGGAGAATATATGAATCTGGTACACCATTTTTTTTAAAAAAAATACAAGATCTAAAAATAATAAATAGATTTTTCATTTTTCTCAAGAACCATATTAAGCCTAATGTACATAAGCAATTAGCCACCTATTAGAATTCACGGCAACTATAGGGTCTTCCAAGCACTGAAAACTTGTCATAATAGCAATCTACTTTCAAGTCCTTAGCCATAATAACAACCAACTTCAGTTTTTCTAAAAATAATAGTGATATGCAACACATGATAGCAAGTTACTTATAATTTCTTACCTATAATAGGATTTTAATCATCTATCCTTACCATACTGCTAAATCTTTCGCGAGCAATCCTATTGATGTAACCCTTCATTCCTTCAATAATATTCTTTCTGTACACAAATAGAACAAAATAAAACAATTAAAACACATTTCTATCTTACATTTTACCCTTAAGATATTAAAAATTATTTCAAGCATTAAAAAATTATTCAAGTAATTGACATCACATCTTCACTTTTTTTAAAACTCTCGAAACATGTTCATCAAAGTTGTTGTCCTGCTCCTACAATCTGTCGCAACTGCTCCTGATGTTGAATCATCTATACCTGCTCATTGAATCACTCTTGTGCCCGAAAACATTAGTATTGGTGTTTCTCTTCACCGTAAATACTGATAAAAATAAGCAACAATATTGATCTTGCATCCAGAAAAAAAAAGATATGTTATTGTTGCCATGGAATGATAAACATGGATCGAACTCTACTGAGCATCCTAAAAAGTATCATAGTGAAACAATTGAAAGTTTAGTACAAAAAAAGGAGAAAACTTAAACATTTGACTAAGAATAAAAACAAATATTTGATAAAATCACATGAATGTATAAATAAAGCAATCTAAGTACCAGTTGTTATGTAGAGTTGTAGACTATGTGAGTGAGTGCCAAGCATGCTCTTATGATCAAAATCATTAAAACAATGTAATCTAATTACCGGTATTAGAATATGTATAACATGGTCACGCGAGCTCCCTAAAACCAAGTTTTCCAAGATGAAAAACTTCTAGCTTTAACCTTATTCAAATCATATGTTTTAAGTAATAAATTCCAATCTTGTCCCTTTTTCTATGTTATGAATGGTCTCTTTTAAGACGAAATTCAAAATCTATTTCCTATTAAAAAATAAAACAACTTGTTAGTTTAATTATTTTACGGTTTACACTTCAAGTAAATAAGTAACATCATTCTTTCCATAATTCTACATATAAACACAAATTAGCAAATACACCAACTGATTTGTCCCAAAAGGAGGTTTAAAGAAAGAACCGATGCAAGTGAATTTACACCATGTTTGATCGCATGTAATGGCTAAAATTCCTTTATGTTCCAAACCTATAAAGTATCTTGTAGGGCTGCAAAGTCTTCCTTGTTTACTTGGTGAGAATATGAAGAGATCAAAAGACATATCCTCTCATCAGAGAATCTACAGAATTATTTTCCATACACGTGACCTAACCATTGAATGCGAAGAGACAAAGAAACAGCGCCCCTCAAAAATCAAAGTCAAAATCATCATAGCGTCAAGAATGCATCAATTAGAGTCCAAAAAAGAAGAAAATAAAGAAATCATTTTAAATTATCTTGTGTTAGGCTTAGGTACTTCCATTTGTTAATCGTCCCCTTTAAGCTTGAAGAAGATGAACATGCTGATGGGGAAATGTGGTGTAAAGAACATCAAAGGCACTCAAAGGGAAAAAGCTTCTAATGCCCTAGAGACAACGCTAGATACCAAAAAAAACCCTAGAAACGTCGGTTGAGACTTGAGAGAAAAAGAACGAAGAGAGAGAAATCAGAGGGAGAAAGACCGAGAATACATATGCATAAAGAATCGATAGCATATATTAGTGAAAATTAAATGGGATTTTCCTCCTGATTTTTGAAGATTATGATGAAGATTTATTAAAGGTAATTTATTATTTGAAATTGATTGTGCAAAAAAAACGGAATGGAGAGAAAAAGTAGGAACCGAATGAAATATTTTGTAGAAATGTTGAGCGGGAAAACAAAAGGATTGAAGAATAATAAGCCGACACGTGGCAAAATATAGGTTTAGAAGATGACATGTGTCATGTCAAGGAGTCTTTTATTAAGAGTAGATTGGGAACAATCAGTTTTCTTTTTTTGAAAATATATACTGATATAATCATACATGTGCACCAAAAGAAAATTATATATTTCATCGGATTAAGAAACATAATAACATTAGTTGTTTACTTTTTTTTTGAAACGACAAATCTAACATACTCCTAAACTACACCTTAAATCCACCTATGTCCACAGCGGGACTTGAACCATCAACCTCAAAAAGGGAGGACAACATTAGTTGTTTACTGTTTTATACAATGGAAAGATAATAATAATATTGTGTAACCAACTAATCCAGTTAAGTTTATTTTTAATGTTTTTATTAAATAACAAAAACAAAGACCTAGATACTATTTTATCAAATTAATAATATGCTCTAAAACACCATATGAATTTTGTTTATGTATAATTATATAATGATTGATGATATATTTATGTTTGTTGTATAACTATAAGACCAAGTTGGTTGTTGATATCGATTTATGTATCTATATATGCATATAATAAATGGGATTTATATAGACGCATATATGAAGAAAACGTTGCGCTTTATTTGAACATCGGGATAATGACTTAAAAAGGTAACTTATTTTTCGATTTGTACATATTTAGTCACTGAGTTTTTTTTTTGTCCATATTTTCCCATTGAACTTGTTGAACCGTTTAAAAAACATCATTATGACCTTCAATCGTAGGTTTAGCCGGTTTCCGGCGTGTTCGACAACTCCGACGATGCTTCGGTTATCTTCTCCGGCAAGACTCCGACTTTCTTGATTTTTCCGGCGGTATGAAACGAAGTTCAAACTAGAAATCGAGCTTTGGGATTTTTGAGTTTCATTTTAAGAACATGAAGTTGGTCCATCGATTTTGAAATCAGAGTGTTGTTCCAGATCTGATGTTCATCATCTTCAACCTCTTCGTCGTCTTCAACCTCCAACCCAGATCTAATGTTCATCGTCTTCAACCCAAATCTGATGATCGAAGTTGCACTTGAAAGCCCTCAGACCTGGTGTGTTCATCGATTTCAGGAGGGTTCGCCTTTATCATGTTCATCTTCTTCCCAAAAACCAAACGAGCTCCAAAAGTGTGTGTGTGTGTATGTGTTCATGCTCTAACATCATATCTGAAATCAAATGATCTCCAAGAACAAAGAAGAAATTGATTTTGTGTGTTTTGGGTTCCTTGAAGATGAACACACTCACATGTGGTGGTTTTCCAAAATCGAGGTTGAAGATGAACTCGAGTTAGGGTTTTCAAACCCAGAAATCAAGTTTGAAGATATGGGTTTGTGTTATGATCTAGGTTTGTTTTTCGACTTGGTCCGTGCTTTTCGTGTTCTGATCTAACAAACACACTCAAATCTGAAGCTCTTGTGTTCTTTGTATTCTTCGTGTTCTTCATATTCTTCGTGTTCTTCATGTTCTTCGTATTCTTCGTGTTTCGATCTAACACACACATACACGATGAACAACTGATGAATCGGATAAATATCTCAAGAACACGATGAACAAACACATCAGAAGATCTTATGTGTGTTCTTGAGCTTGAACAGAAGAAGATGAAGAGTTGATTTTTGAGTTTGAGTTCTTGAGTTTGAAAATCTAACACCCATATAGGTTTATGTTTGAAATTTGTTCAGATCTAAGAAAGGGACGAGAGATAATAGACCTGAGTTCTTGAGTTCATCGGAAAAATCATGAATGTCGGAAACTTGCCGGAGAAGATAACTGGAGCATGGTCGGAGTTGTCAAACACGCCGAAAATCGGCTAAACCTCCGATAGCAGGTAACAAGGATACTTTTTGAACAGTTGAACAAGTTCAATAGGAAAATATGGACAAAAAAACTCAGTGACTAAATATGTACAAATCGAAAAATAAGTTACTCTTTTAAGTCATTATCCCTTGAACATCTTGATTAGAACGCATTTCCCTCAAACGTTGAACCCGAGTTGTTCAGTAAATATCATTTTGGCTATGTATTGCAGCCTAATGTTATCTTTTTGTATAAGTTTTACCATTAAAATTTTTTGTATACAATTTATTATTAAAATATGTCCTTTTAATCTGATCTGACCAACATCATCCATTCCGGCCAAGACCGTTAATCTCACAGCACCACCATACACCTCTAGCAACAAACACCACCTTTCATCACATTCATTCGCCACCACAACCACTATGTCCAACATTCACCATTCACCACCATCACCATACCAAAGAAACTAATCTAAAATCAATTTCAACCAACTCAAACCTCTTGTTGCAGAAAGACGAGAGAGATGGATGTTTGGGAGGGTGGTTTTCACATTATAATATGAGAGAGAAGAGCAGGGAAATATGTGAGCGGCGAAATGAGTAATGTCGGCGATAGTAAAGGGACGGGTGGGGGCATTTTTAACGAAACTGAAAAATCAAGAGATTGTACGTTTTGTAATGTTTTTAAAAATTGAACATGTAAAATAGTATTTTCCTTCTTAATAAATTCAAAATACCCTTCCAAGCATATAATAATTACAGTCTTAGGATTGTTATTTTTTAAATACTCAAATAAAACTTAGCTCAAAATTTTATAACCATGTGTTCCAGGATCATTTGTAGAATCCTAATTAATTAACCATTGTGATCAGTTCTAGTCCCAACGTTTTGAGAGCTATCAATTTTGGTTTTAAGATCTATCCTACAAAATTTCGATCGTTATAATTAATATGATAAATATTTATCTTAAATCATATTAATTTAAATTCTCTATTATGATAAATATAGATATTTCTTCAATATACCCGTCTAATAATAAAAACTAAGAGAGTTTTACATTGAGCCTTCTTAACCAAACCGAATGAAGCACCATGTCTATCAAATCATATGCTCTCGATGGTCTATGAATTATAAAATGTCTTTGCACCTTCATCACCATTTTCTGCATTTTAATGTACTCATCTATCCCAACCCCTTCCAAGATTTTCTTGATTTCCGGTATCTTTTTCACCGGAACATGAACAGAAAACTTGCTCCAGTCAAGAACGTCACTGAATGGTAACACATAATGGTCAGAAACGATCACCGGAACACAACCTGATGAGATCGATTCAACTATTCTAGGGCTTGCTACTTCCCATCCACTAGGGCATAAGCAAAACTTTGCTCTTCCCATTAATTCCGAGTAATTTAGCGTTTTTGGGAGGTATTTGAAGACTTGAATCTCCTCATCTTTTCCATCCCAAATTTCAAACAAATATTTTCTTACTTGTCCATGGTTGCCACCTGCAAAAAATGCAAGGATGGAACGGTTTTCAGGGGGTTGTCCGATGAGGGGTGGCCCTAGGTGTTCGTAAGGAATGTTGAGCTCCGGCAAGGAGACGTCTCTTTCTGGCCGAAAACCTTCAGAACTATTGGCATTGCAAAGGACACGAATGAAGTGTTCATACAATTTAGGGTTCGTCGCTGTAACATCTGGTGCCTGAAAAAGTAAACGACTGTTGTTGGTCAATCAATATGGAACCTAAATTTGATTCTTGGATATTCATGGTATAGGAGTTAATGAAAATTTAAACAGATGATCACATGTATACCCAATCATGACAGCTAACGAAGAAGTGATCAGCTCCACTGCTTCTATTCCAATAAGGGTACTTGTGTGACAACACCCCAATGTAATCAGTAACAACATCCTGGATAATTCGACGATCATAATCAGCATGAGATCTGTAAAGATAATGTCGAATGGAAACCACGCTGACAGGGAGGAAGAACACAAGGGCTTCTTCAGGGTTTTGAGCAAGAAATCTGCTTTTTTGGCTCTCGATTTCGTCCATGATTTGGCCTTCGCTGGAGTATATATTGTTCATAGGTCCTCCATGGAAAATGGGAAGTTCTCCTTCCTTGTATGCCCATACTTTGAAACTCTTCTCCATCTCTATGTGGCTCCTGCGTTATATTCAAGAAATATAATAAATCTTTGAAAACAAGAAGTTAAGTAAAATCTTGAGTTAAATCTATCATTCATAGATTCTCGATATATCGGCAAAGATAGTGGGAGCTTGAAGCATTGAAGCTTGTATTCGTGTACAATTGTTTGCCAAAAATAAATATAAGTTTGTGGAAGTTATAAAATCAAATAAAACATAATTAAAGAGTATCTTCCACACTAAGTTGTTGAGAGCTTTAAAAAAACTTAGATTAAAGAATAAGTATAAGCTTAACACTTAGTTTAAACAAAAATATCACAATCCAAAAGCTAATATAAGTATCTTTTAGTTTTTAATGAAATTTTATATATTTAAAAACTTGGATCTACTATTGTCTAAAATTTCTCAAAAACTCCTAAAAGCTCTCAAGAGCTAATTGAAGTAGCTTTTCGATTGTGAGTTTATACAAAAAATAAAAAAATAAGCTTGTACTCCCAAATTGCCAAATACGTCATATATGTCAATTACCTTAGGAAAAACTTGTTTATAAGAAAAACAACAACCCGTATGAACCTAGTACCTAGGCTTCTCGGGTTAATTTATTAGGGTGGTAGGCATAAATAATAAAATTTGTAGGTCGTGTTTTTCATATATTAGAAAAGAAAATCGATGATGTAGTAACCGTACATGCGAGTTCAAGGTGGTACCATCGACTATACGACGCTATCAATATGCAATACTGGAGATTTGTCGGAAGAGTGAGTTACCCAATGTTGTCCCATACCACCTCTCTCTACTCTCGCTTTACCTAACCGTTGTCCAACGATCATTTTTTATTCTTTTATTCCTTTTTACAAACTATAAATACCACACTTAACCATTTCAACAACTACACATTTTATCCACTTTCATTCCAACTATCCCCGATTCCATTTCAAATGGATTTTAGTCATGACAAATCCAAAAAAAAATGGTTCAAGCCAAAGACGCAACCGACGCAACGAAATTGGAAACAATTCTCAAGATTTTTCATATTTCATTCCCACAACCCAAAATCATCCCCAGTTCCAACCATATCAACCCCGATATAGCCAATTACCAATGCAACATTCATATACCATATTCGGTTATCTCAATATAATTATGCTTTTAATATGTTCCCCCACAATCCAATATTAAACTCATGAAGCATCGCAATTTTGTGATGCTCAAAACAAAAAATCCAAAGAATCAAGTGATGAAAAACCTCCCATCCCTTAAACCCAAAACGAAGACTCAAGCGACGAATCTATCCTTAGAAGCTCACGAAATTATACCAAACATCAAAAATCCAAAAAATTGTCTAAACAGAAATGGCGTTGACAATGGTTTCTTTCGACATATCAGAAGACAAGGAACGTGTAAATTAACAAAGAGCAGATTGTTTGGAGTGAGTTCTAGAACACTTTAAACGGAAAATGAGGGGTTCGGATTGTACATTTAGGGAACTTCAAATTAAAGGTTTCAGGCGAAAGTTAACAACTTCAATTACATCTTCAACCAAAAAATGAAGTAATGAACAATCGTTTGAGCGGAAGATCAGAGCTTGATATTTTAAAGTTGGCACAAAGTCACTATTGAAAACTCTTTAAACAGAAAGCTTTTCCACACGAAACGGCACATGATATATTAAAATTTCACGACAAATTGTTACATGTCGAAAAACATGATAAGAGTATCCCCCTCACTTATAAAAAAAGACCAAAACATTTGAATCGAACATATACACAACCTCTTCAGATGCACGATTTACATATGATATCAACGTAAAGGCTGAAGTGATTCTTGTTGAAATACTGCAACGGAGGCAACGAAAAGGGAAGAAAGCGGCTTCCACATCGTTACATCCTCATGAAATAACAGATCTTTTCACTAAAATTGTTGCCTCCCTCATCAAAACAAAGTAGAGGCGGATGAGAGAAAACAACACCTAGAGGGGAAAAAATTATGTATCATGGAAGTTATCAAGCAAAGAAAATGACATTATTGGAAGAGGAGATACGAGCGCTTAAGGAAAAAACAAGAGGAAAAATATATGGTTCTTTCTTCAACCGCATGACCATTTACCCGAAAGGCTGTCGAGTGTGGTACTCACGAGAAAACGACAAATTGTCGTGATTTATGGTTGGGAGTTGTAAAATTTTATTTTTAGATTTAATTATCATCATAGGATTTTAATTATTGTTTTATAATTTTATTAAACGTTTGTAGTAATTTATCATTTTTTAATAAAATATTATTTTAAAGTTGGCACAACGTGACTATTGAAAACTCTTAAAACAGAAAGCTTTTCCACACGAAACGGCACATGATATATTAAAATTTCACGACAAATTGTTACATGTCGAAAAATATGATAAGAGTAGCCCCCTCACTTATAAAAAAAGACCAAAACATTTGAATCGAACATATACACAACCTCTTCAGATGCACCATTTACATATGATATCAACGTAAAGACTGAAGTGATTCTTGTTGAAATATTGCAACGGAGTCAACGAAAAGGGAAGAAAGCGGCTTCCACATCGTTACATCCTCATGAAATAACAGATCTTTTCACTAAACTGTTGCCTCTCCCATCAAAACAAAGTAGAGGCGGATGCGAGAAAACAACACCTAGAGGGGAAAAAATTATGTATCATGGAAGTTATCAAGCAAAGAAAATGACATTATTGGAAGAGGAGATACGAGCGCTTAAGGAAAAAAACAAGAGGAAAAATATATGGTTCTTTCTTCAACCGCATGACCATTTACCCGAAAGGCTGTCGAGTGTGATACTCACGAGAAAACGACAAATTGTCGTGATTTATGGTTGGGAGTTGTAAAATTTTATTTTTAGATTTAATTATCATCATAGGATTTTAATTATTGTTTTATAATTTTATTAAATGTTTGTAGTAATTTACCATTTTTAAATAAAAATTTATTTTTAGTTTTAGTTTTATTTATTTAACTTTCGTAATTGTCTAATTCTTTAAGAATATATTTAATTGCTTAGTGGGTACAAATGACATAGATGAATTCCGATAAGTTGTGGGTTCTGATGGATGAAAGAGAAATGAGAGAAAAAAAAAAAAAAATATATATATATATATATATATATATATATATATATATATATATATATATATATATATATATATATATATATATATATATGGTAATGAGATGACATTTGGTTTGAAAGGGTGGGATAGATGTACTTCATCTACTTTTATATATAGGTTGTCAAAAATGAATCACAGAAAATCAACAAAACGTTTATCCACTGAATCAAGAAAGTTGATAGCTAATATGTGTTAGTTAGTAGCATCGATATATATATATATATATATATATATATATATATATATATATATATATATATATATATATATATATATATATATATATAGTCCATATCCGGTAGGAACCCAAAAATTGCTAGGAACCGCAACGACTTTTCTCCATCAATCATTTCGTCAATGGCGCAAACATTAAACTCATTTACTTGTTCGTGACGCGTTCGCACGCGGCGCACGTGCATGAAACGTAATATGAACTCGAGGGAATAATCTATGCAACGAACATCTGTGAAATGTCATTTAAATGAGTTTTTCTTTTCTTTTTCATTTATTTTGGTTTTTTTTCGTTTTTATTATTATTATTTTTTTCGATAAAAAAAATTCAAAATTTATTTTTTATAAAAAGATATATGCTCGGTTTCAATGTTTTTATTATTTTAATTTTTTTTCGTTTAGTTATTTATTTTTTTTTCGTTTTTTCGTTTTTTTTTAAATCTTTGTTTTTGTTTTTTTTATATCTTTACTACAACACACTTGAAGATAGTAGAGATTTTTTTTTGATTTTTTTGATTTTTTAAACTAAATATCGGATTGAGTTTTTAATGTTTAATAATTATAATATTTTGAATAAGAAGAATATTAAGGATCACAATATTTTACATTCATACTTTTTTGTGAATCATATTATTTTTGGATATTAAAATTTTAAATTATAGTATTTTGAATCATAATGATATTATGTATCATACATTTTTTGATCATATTAATTTGGATCATTTTAATTTGGATCATAATATATTGAATTAAATAAAAAAATTCAATACAATATTTGGATCATTATATTTTTTGAATCATTTAATTTTGAATCATAAAAAATATAATAATGAATGATCATTAAATATTTGAATCAAAATACTTTTAGATCGTAACAAGTTAATGATCATAAACATATTGAATCATAATATTTTTATACCATAAATATTTAGAATCATCTCTATTTGCATCATATTATGTTCAACATTTTTTTTTTAAAAACTTTTAATCTTTTAAAATCAAGTTTGTTATCTAAAAAACCTTATTTTTTAAAAATTCTTTTTACAAAGTCATTAGAATAGTGAGTAGAAGTTTTCCATAAATTTTTATAATTTTTGGAGATTTTTTTTTTGGGTTTTTTTTATAAATATAGAAAATAAAAGAGTATATATTTTTTTTCGAATTTTCATTATTGTGCTCATTTTGTAGAGAATTAAACTTTAAAAACTTTGGTTTTTTTTAGATTTTTTTTTCAAAGAAAAAAAGTTATGGAAGAAAAACTAAACGGGTGGAAAAAAACTCACCTGTCAATAAGGGATGGACACTTGTCGTTAGATTTTGACGATAAATAAAATCAAATCATGGCCATTTATTTTTCCAATCTTAAGGCCAAAAATTATTTTTGCGGTTCCTACCATTTTTTGAGTTCCTACTTGACAACAAAATAAAACAAAATCCAATATTTTAATTGTCAAATATGTGTCGCGTTTAAAATTATAATAACATGTTATAAGTCATTTACCATGTATTAATCAATAATTATTACCACAATAATTTAAAAATATGAAAGTCACTTTAGTGTTACTTTGATAGAATTATTTAGTAAATTAACATAATTATGTAATTAATTTCTTTACTAAATATCAAAATACATGATATATTTGTTGGTGGTTAAATATTATAATATAACTTTTAAAAAAGTTTATATATATTTTATAAAATTTGTACCAACCTAACTTTTTGTAGCCAGACAAGTTGTTAAGAAACATATTTATTATGGTACTGATAGCAAAAAAATTATACCAGCTATAATCGGTATGGTATAGTGTTTAAGGGAAAATCGGTATTATACCATATTCACCCCTACTTATATGGGTCATTTGGTAAGCGAGATTTAACCCAATCACCAAGTGCTTATATGAATGTTTTCTGAACATAAAATTACAAGAACATTGACATATTTAGTATAAGAATTTTAGTTTATTGACCTTACTCTAGTACATGTTTATAATCTTCCTTAATAAATGAAGGTTTTTGCCACATGTCAATCTCTTATGAGTTTTGACACTTGTCATTTTGTGGTATTTTTGAAATAAATATTATTTACTTGTCAATTTTTGGTTTGTTTCAATTTTTAAAATTAAAGTCATATACTTATATATTTAAAGTATTAAATATCATATATATGATATTAAATTGCAATAAATGCATTTCTTCCTTTCTTATTTTAAAGTTGTATGATAAAAAATATTTTCTGTTTACACTTTAATGTTTAATCTTTTTTTAAATCAACCTGTATAATACACGGGTCTCACACCTACTGAGTGAATATCTAGATATATATAATATATAGATATATATATAGATAGTATATATATTATATATATATATATATATATATATATTCAATAGAGAATCATTATTAACCATGGAACCAATCTCTTTTTCAATTTTTAGAGCTTAATTTTTATCAATAAAATAAACTAAAAATACAGAAATTTATAACTTTTTATCTTTTTTCATTGATATCAAATTCAATAAAAATTTACTTTTTTTTCCGTCAAATTCACAATATGAACCTGTGTAAATTCTAAATGTGAATTTGAAATCATACAGTGAATCCAAAAAATATATAATTTATTATTTAGCATTCACAGTGTGAAGTTATGAATTTAAATATTTTTTAGTTTTTTTTTTCGATAAAGAATAAACTTTAAAATTTTAAAAAAATATATTTGGTTTTTTGGAGAACCATTTATAATGGTTCTTTTGTGAATATATATATATTATATATATATTATATATATATATATATATATATATATATAGGAGTATGATCAAATGAAAACACCTAAAAGGTTGAGAACGCGAGAACAGATCTTGACCGTTTAAATACTTAAATCTAAGGTTATTATTAAACGGGTGATTTATGAAAAATTCTAAAACTACTAGCATTAAAGTGTAACTTTTAAATGGTCAGAAGGGCATAATTGGAAAATCAACTTTACCAATTTCCTATAATTTCTCATCCTTTCACCTCTTTCCTTTCATATTCCCGTATCTTTATCACCCTCACTCTCTCACTAGGGTTTCACAATAAAGTCGCCTCCCTCTATGAATTCGGTTCCCTTTTTCCTCTCTTCAACATAGCCGCTGCAGAAGATAAACACCACCACCGCGGATAGCCAAATCCGTCGACAACATAAGCCACCGCTATCATCATTCAACCTTATCTAACCATCTCTTTCTATCACCTTAGTCATATATCATCGCATCATCGCTATTACTAGCTTCACAGAAATAGGTGCTTGGCTCTGTGAGTTTCTTATAATGCTTTAAAATTGGTTTTCTTTATTTGCTTCTAAAAATAAGGTGATAAAGATAACATTTACTGTTTTGGTTTTGCTAATATGAAGTAAACACATTATTGTTTTGGTTTATAATTGATCACCTTCATGCAGACCTGGAATTAGATTCACAGGAAAAGGTTGTGCACAGAAGCTATTTAATGAATTTTGTGAGAGATATATGGTTCATTGAACTTAATGATATATGTAATATGGAGTTTTATGAACGTCCATTGGAATTGTTTGAGAAGATGAAATGTGAAGAATTTGAGCTAGAGGAGAATGAAAAATTGTATTATATTTTGATGTATTTATCTATGATAGAATGTGTATTCAAATATGAATAGTAATGTATTCATGTGTGAATGAGTGTATTTATTTATGATTAGAGGCATTCATTTTATGAAGAAATATTAATTTTTACACTATTTTTTATTTTGTATTTATTTATGAATAGAAGTGTATTTATTTGTAAATAACAGTGTATTCATATGTGAATGGTTGTATTTATTTCTGAATAACATTGTATTCATGTGTGAATAACTGTGTTTCTTTATGATTAGAGATATTCACTTTTTTCAGTAATGTTAATTTTTACACTATTTTTATTTTTATTTGATGAAAAAAAGGCATTGAATTATTTGTAAATTGATGTATATTAATTTGTGATTAGAATCGTATTAGGGTTTTTGAAGAAAATTTTCGTTTTTGAATAGAAGTTTGATTTAGGATTAGATTCTATTCATTTTTTGAAAAAAAAATGTGAAATACGAGCAAAAAAAATTTATTTTTTTAAGAAAAAAAATAAATTTTTTTTTCAGTTTTAAAATAAATTTTGGCAAAAATGTTTTTATATTCCATTAAAAATAAAAATAAAAATCTAATATTTTTTGTTTTTTGGTAACTGATCTTAAATTTAAGGGATTTGATTGAATTTTATTTTTTTTTAATTTAATTATAAAATACAATTACTAATATACCCTTATATATTGATTGGTCCAGAACTATATATATATATATATTATATATCTATATATATCTATATATATATATATATATATATATATATATATATATATATATATATATATATATATATATGAAGACATGTCTAATATTAAAATATATATGTCTCGGGGGTCATCCTAGTAGTCAATTTACATCATTTCCTTCTGATCTAAATCAAATAAAAAGAACCAAAAACACTAAGATTACCACTTACCACATGTTTGGTCCCAAAAGCTCCATACCAACTTGTTCCCTCGATCCCATTCCTCCCAAGAAATCAAAACATTTGGACACACGCATGGTTTTTCTATCAAAATAACTAGAAATATTGCTACTTCCCAAAAGAATATGTAATCATATATCTTACATATATGGTGAAGTTTGATCATACATCTATAAGATATGATTTCTTTTGGGAAGTAGCCATATATCAAGTTATTTTGATAGAAAAACCATGCCTGTGTCTCTTTGTTTTGATTTCTTGGGAGAAAAGTAAGTTGTAATTCAGTTTCATATCAAAGAGTAAGATATGAAGTCATGATCTCTAAGATAAGTGATACTGTTATATACCCACAACTTAACCACTTTATAAAGGTAACATATGCATGAAAAATTAATAAATGAAAGTGAAGAACATGAATCTTAACTGATGAAAAGCGTAAGGGTTTCTGTAAACGGATCCTCTCGGAGTAAAACTCCGGTCATTAAACCGCCATGGCATCTTATATCGCTTCATTCTACCGGCTTCTAATATGGCAAAACGAGCCCTAGCCAATCGTTCCTCCACAGTTTCATCCTTCTTGATCAACTTCGAAAACATGTACATCCATAAATAAACAATTAAAAAACATAACATAAGTTGCGATTAGTGAATAGAGAATAACATCATTTTATGTGTATTCTAAAACGGTGGCCGAGGCGCAAATGTCACTGCTGCTGTATAACTAGCATATATACTTACATGGCTGGTGGACAGCGGCAGCGGTGGTGGCGCCGGAGAGGGAGAGATTAAATAGGTTTTTAGAGAAGAAAACGTGAAGAAATTGAATTGGGTATTGAGGCAAACGAAGAAGAGAATGAGAAAGATTGTTGTGTAAAGCAATTGTGATCTGTTGCCGTTTTTCGAGCCATCTGTTGCCATATTCTGAGGTGGTTTTGGCGGTGGTAGGGTAGCAGCAGCAGCAGCTAGGGTTTTCTTTGACAAGTGATTGGTCGAAACTGAGAGATTTTCAACTACAAGTATCGTCGTTAAGGAGCTTCCATCTTTTATTCTTTTTATCCATAAAAGGTTATTCTAAATTTAATTTAAAAACAATTTTTGAGTTTTGTATATATTTCAATTTTAAATGTATTTCTCATGATTTTCTTAATTACCGAATTTATTAAATTGAAATTAGAGTTGTCGGATTATTGTAATTATAAAGAAAATAGTAAAATTAAATACCGTTCATGTCATTTGAAAATCTTTTGTCAATTATTGTCAAAATATATCAAATATTTTCTTAATTACAAAACTAATTACAAGTTAGAGACTGATAGTTTGAAACTATAACTTTTATTTACTTTTATTTATATAGAAGTATATATGAAAAATAATGTGAAGCTTGACATAAAACATAAAAAATTAAAAGTTAAAATTTAAAATCTCCTAAAACTCTCAAAAGTTACTTGAACCAGGTTTTGAGTTATGAGTTTTTTTTTTTTTTTTTTGCTATTTTTGGCATAATAGATGAAAACAATTGATAGTTAAAAAGTTAACCGTTAACTAAAAATTATTTGTTAACCTATAAGGTAACTGATAAAAAATAATATAATAAAAATTAGTTGATAAGTTATCTTGAAAATATAAAATAATATTTAGAAATTAAATGTATATTTGTGAAATTTTAAAAAAAATTAACACTCAATAATTTTTCAAAAAGATAGCTTATAATAAGCTACTATTTTATTTGTCAAAGTTGAAAAATAAATTAGTTTGTGGCCGTGAGCCAAACATAATCTTTGTCTAAACTAGAAGCTTTAAGTTCCTAAACATTTTCTATAATTTGAATTTTTTTAAGAAAAAAAAATATAAAAGCCAAAATTCTTAAAATCTCTCAAAATCTCAAATAACTAAATTCTATGTTATATAAAGATTTTTGTTGGTTAAGATGTTCATAAAACAGATAAAATGTTCTTTAAACTCTTAATTCTTATAGATCGCTAATTTTAAACTTACGGAAGACTAATATTGATTCTGTAAAAAAATAATAATAATAATAAAACAAATTTTCTTTTCACAACGATCATATATGAACTCAAGGCATGATAGTTTAATTATTTCTTAAAGTTGATGACGACGTGAAAATGATAGGGGCTTCCAATGTTTGACCCGAAGGTAACAGTGCACGTGTGTAGCGAATGTAATTAGTTAACTTCATATATTCGTTAAACTCGTTTATATAGAAAAGGGCTGAAACTACATGTCATATGATGGGAAATACTTAACTTACTATTGGAATTGTGGAATGTATGTTTGTTTACAATATTTACAACAAAATTAATAAACTATATAAAAACTAAAAACATAATGGAGAATGCGTTTAATATTCTCTCCAAAACTACATGTGATATGATGGGAATAACTTAAATGTCAGTGCATGGCAAAAAAATCAAAGAAAATTAAGTGACCCATTAATTCTCCAATTAAGATTGTGTGCCAATGTATAATGTTTCTATAAAAAGCCAATCATCCGCATCAAAGTCTCTATTTCCACATTCTGTGAAAGAGGAAAGCAAACTCGATCCACCAAATTAATAAAAACATTATGGTATATAATCCCTATACTAATAAAAGAATAGTGTTAATCACTTTTTGTCATGTGTCTCTCTAATACAACTTCACATCAATATTATGTCATGTGTCAAAGAGATATATTAGGCAAATCACTATCATAAGTAATGAGGTTACCAAAGGGCTTCTAGCCCAGCGGTATCAGGTGTCAGGTGGTGCCCTCCCTCCTTGAGGTCGAGGGTTCAAGTCCCGTGGTGGACATAGGTGTTAGTTTAGGAGTAGATTATAATAACTTGTATTTGCCGGTTCAAAAAAATTAATGAGGTTAAGGTTTTAAATAATAGATTAAACTTTTTATAGAAACATTTATTTTTTTAATTATATGTTAAATTTGAAGTTATAACTAACTTTAAAATTTTGGTATATCTCTTAATTAATAATTTATTTAAAATAATTGATTAATAATTATAATTTTTTGCTATCAAATTGAATTAATTTTGTAACCATGGTTTCCACGGGTTATAAACTAGTTTATATATATATATTTTTAACGATAGTTGCCAAAGTTTTAATTTTTATTAAGAACTTCGTCACAACTTTATTTTTACCCCGAGTTTTTATATAACTTTGTTTTTATTGTATAAAGTTAGTGGTAATTAATGTTTTCTTAATCTGTGTGTTTTTTGTCTGTGGATAATAATTTTGGGACGAATGAAATATAAGGTAAGAAATAATAAATATTGTTCAAAATTGGTCATTCGTTGACATGCTATAAAAGGTTTATAGGTAATCTCTATACTAATAAAAGAATAGTTTTAATCTCTTTTTGCTATGTGTCACTCTAATACAACTTCACATTAATATTATGCCATGTGTCAAGGAGATATATTAGGCAAATTAATATCACAATTAATGAGGTTAAGGTTTTAAATAATAGATTAAACTTTTTATAGAAACATTTACTTTTTTAATTATATGTTAAATTTGAAGTTATAACTAACTTTAAAATTTTGGTATATCTCTTAATTAATAATTTATTTAAAATAATTGATTAATAATTATAATTTAAGAATGTTAATGTGTTTTTTTTAAACTATACAAAATAATTATATATCTTTATTTGCAAAATCATTTTCTGAACATAAAAGAAAAAAACAAATAAAATATGTGTTTGGCAAAAGTAACTGGTTGTTGGTGGTTGTTAATTGATAGCTAGTAGTTATAACCTATAACTTTTATTTGTTATATGAGTGTTTGACAAAAGTTGTTGAAAGTTTTTAAAATGTATGAAAATATATAAAATGACTTTAAAAAATATAAATATATCAATATATTTTTAAGTGTTCTGGAAATTAATTAAAAACACTGTGATAATTTTTTTAGACTAAATTGCAAATTTGGTCCCTGTGGTTATCAGAAAAATGTGGATGGAGTCCAAAAAAATTTCAACTTGCACCACTGGTCCAAAATCATAAACTTATTGTGGTTTTGGTCCCTGAAAAAGTTGAAAAGACTATTTTACCCTTTTAATTTTTTTTCATTTTTATATTTATTTTAATCCTTTTTACTTGTCAAAATAAATAAAAAAAAATAGCAAAGCCAGCTCACCCACCCCTCCACCGTACCCCTTCTATTTCTCTCTCCCCATCTCTCTCTTTCTCTGATCGTATTCTTAATTCTTCATCCCATGTTCTTCAAATCAAAGAAACCTCACTCCTTCTATGATTAGTAGGAGTTCAGACATCAAATCCTTTCTCCCTTCACCTTTATTCCAACAAACCCATCTAAACAAAAATTATTAGAGAGAAAGGGATAATGAATTGGAATCAAGATTAGAGCTAATTTGGTTCCATCTTCCTCACATCACTATTGAGTTTACACCATACCTCCATCACATATACCATCTTCTCCTCCAAGCTACCATATCTACACATCAACCATATTCACCACTGTTTACCAAGATCCCTACATCACCATCTTCACACTCTATCATCTCAATAGCTAACACCACCATCTGGAATAAAAAATACAAACAGGTAAAAAAACACCTTTGTTCTTCCATGGTATAACAGACCCATAAATCAATTCCTCAAGGGGAAGAGGTGAGACACAGACAAGAAAAACGGTCCATATTATTTGATTTCCACATATGATCGAATCAAAAAAGTGAGTGGGTTTAGGATTTCTTGAGGGAAGTAGTAAGGAGTACGAAATTCAGATGCACTGGTGGTTTGAGGCATTAGAACCCTAATCGTGGTAAGGTCGAAAGGGGATGTTGTTTTCGGTAGCGGTCGTGGTCACCCCTTTTAATCTGTGAAAAGGATATTGGGGCTGAAGATGAAGGTGGATCTAAGGAGAGCATATCGGAGGATATTTATACCACAAACCCATGAGGTTCAAGCGACCTGGATCAACGATTCCAGCGACCTATACGTTTGCTTCTAGTTTTTGAAAAGCAAATTAAATCCAGGTTCGATTGGTGGTGGTTTGGTTGTTGTGATCTTGTCGGGCGACGAAGATAGTGGGTACATCGGATGAAGAAGACGTTGGGTTTGATCGATGGGTTTTTTAATCTTCTATGTGTGTGTGTGTGTGTGAGAGAGAGAGAGGTATGGTAAAGGGGTGGGTGAGTTGGCTTTGCTATTTTTTTTTATTTTTTTTCAAAATAAAAAAGGATTAAAACAAATATAAAAATATAAAAAAAGAAATTAAAAGGGTAAAACAGTCGTTTCAACTTTTTCAGGGACTAAAACCACAAAAAATTTATGATTTTAGACTAGCGGTGCAAGTTGAAAAGATTTTGGACTTCATCCACATTTTTCTGCTAACCACAGGGACCAAATTTGCAGTTTAGTCTTCTTTTTTTAAAAAAAAAACACTACATGAAGTAGTTTTTACATTTTAAGTGTTTTGTTTAAACTAAAAGTTAAACGTTCGTACTCTCAAACAAAGTTTTTGTTTAAATCGAATTTTTTTTGTTAAAAACTAAAAGCTCACAAACGTTCATTGCCAAACACACCAAACAACCACGAAATTCTAGCTAGGGCTAGAGACCAAAAGAGCACCACACTAGCATACTCTACAAAACACACTATAAATTATGGTCGAAAAGGATACAAAATATGGTTTTGCAAGCGGATATTGTGTAGTTGAAACCTATGTAAAGTCTCAAAGACTCCATCCACACAATTGGATCCATATAAGCACAGAACTTTGGTATACGCAAACAAACAATATCTCATAGGTCGGTAATGTTGGCATAATACATGTTTATGTATGTATGTTTTCGGCCTAAGGCCTTTGTGTGTATCCAAGTTTGCATTATACTCCTATATATATATATATATATATATATATATATATAATAT